TATCATTCAAAATGTGACCTAGAGTTTTGGTACAATGGAGGAAACCCCTTTACCATTGGATGAAGGAGGGCCAAGGTTTTTAGTATAAAATTGCTAAATTAGCAACAGGTGAGATGTCTTTATATAAACACAATGTAAACTCACATTTTAAAGAAGATCCGTAAATTAGTTTTTCAAGAATCATGACTAAAATAATTTTACAGTGGTCTCATATAGACGTCCCATGCAAGGACACCACTGTCTGTGTTATGGGCCAGCTGATTTACTGGCTGATACCCACACCCACCTCTCTTTGGAGCTATGGACACCATTTATGACTGCTAGGGTTAGTAAATATGGCATTTCTCATCTTTTGATTATATTTTGTCCACTTGTCACAGTCCTTTTCTTACACTCACAGACCACCACATTAACGTCACTGCACTGAGGAGCCGTTGACAGGTCATGGATGTCAGATGGTGGGCTGATTATTTATGGTTTTGTATTTAATCCTACACAGATTCATATAGAAAAATAGTGGTGCAAAAAATGCCCTATGTCACTAATCCCTCATCACATTACTGCTGTCGCTCATCAAATTATCAAAACAATGTAGACGGGCTGGAACCACATACCAACACTGGACTGCTACTGCAAACCCACAACAGCAGCATCTACTATACAAGCATTCACCTTGCCAGGCTTGCAGACAGCTGAAGGCAGGGGGGGCACCTTCTCCTGGGAGTTTTAGCCCACAATTCTCAGCCTTCCTTTAGCCCCTTCGTAAGCAAACCTCCTGAAAACAACCACCACACAACCACCAGTGCACATGAATGAGGGACTGCACTGGGCAAACAGTTCTGCACCACCAGGCCGACACGCTTTCCCAGGTTCACTTGTTCTCCTTCAGCTTCTCTGTATTAAATTAAGCAAACTACAGCAGTACTACAAGGCATTATGTTTAAGGAAGAAGAGAAGTTAAAAAGTGTGTTAGCCAAAAGCAGAACAGTAAAGTTGAATGGGATTGTTCATACCCTACCTCACCATTCTGGTCGAAGCCTGCCACAGCCCCTTGCATCAGCAGCCTCAGATCTTAGTAATCCAGCACTGGGCACTGTTACACAAGGGAGGGCGGGAGGCAGCGAGGGAGATATAGAGACAAAAGGGGAGGGCGGTGGGGGCTTGTAAAAGTGTTACTGAGTTAAACAGAGTGAGACAGAGCGAAATGACAGAAGTGAACAGGGGAGGGGGGGGTGCTTAGCAAGAGTGCTGGAGACAGAGAGAAACAGGGCGAGCGACAGAGAGAGAGCACGAGGGGGTGGAGGCCTTTTAATCTGGGATTTGGACGAGTGTGAGCAGTCCTGATATCAGCGCTCGTCAGTGCTATCAGCCCCCCCACCCCAGATGCATGACACAGGTGCTGGTTGAAT